ACATCTGGACCTACATCTGGACCCACACCTGGACCCACATCTGAACCCACACCCACACCTGGACCCACATCTGGACCTATACCTGGACCTACACCTGGACCCATACCTGGACCCACACCTGGACCTATACCTGGACCCACATCTGGACCTATACCTGGACCCACATCTGGACCTATACCTGGATCTACCATTCTGTGTTCATCTGTCTCTCCTTCCTGTCCTCTCAACCAGCCAGTCAAAGCAGATGGTCTCTTGTCCTGATCCTGGTTCTGCTGGAGGTTTCTTCCTGTTAAAGGGAGTTTTTCTTTCCACTGTCTCCACTGTGCTTGCTCAGGATGGGAGACTGCAACGAAGCCAAGATTCAACTTGTCTGCTGGATTCCTTAGATAGAGAACTTCACCAATTGGCTTTTATGTGAATGTTCCTGTAAAGTTCCTGAGACAACTTTGTTGTGATTTGGAGCTTTATAAATAAACTGAATTGAATTAAATTTGTACAGAGTAATAGTACTGGTACTGCCGATACTAGCCTTAATTTGAACCGGTAACGTATCGGACCAGAAATCCTGGTATTGAACAACACAGGCAGCACGCATGTGCATTAGGTGAACGTGCAAAATTCACAGCGCCAACTAATACCATACCATACCAATTTATTTATAAAGCACTTTAAACAGTGACAAAGCACACCAAAGTGCTGTACAGGGACAAACAGAACAAGCACACAGCAACAGATTACATAACAGGACACCAAAAAGTAGAAACCAACAAAAACAATAATGGATAACAACAACAACTGCAACATGACCAACACAGTGTGATGCACACAGACTCAGCACAGATCACACAGTGCAGAAAGCCAGGGAATAGAAGTGTGTTTTTAAGCAAGATTTAAAAACTGTGAGGGAGGGGGCCTGTCTAACGAGCAGAGGTAACTCATTCCAAAGTCTTGGTCCTGCTACAGAGAAGGCCCTGTCACCTCTGCGCTTGAGACGGGTTCCTGGGACTGTTGGGAGCAACTGGTCTGCTGATCTGAGAGAACGTGGTGGGACATACGGCTGGAGCAGATCAGTAAGATAGGAGGGGGCAGAGCTGTTTAGTGATTTATAGACATACAAGAGTATTTTGAATTTGATTCGAAGGTGAACTGGAAGCCAGTGTAGGGAGGCCAAAACAGGTGTAATGTGCTCTCTTCTGCTTGTGCTGGTCAAAAACCAGGCTGCTGCATTTTGGACCAGTTGGAGTCTAGCTATGGAGGTCTGACTGATACCAAAAAGGAGTGAGTTGCAATAGTCGAGCCTGGATGTAATGAATGCATGAATTACTGTCTCCAGGTTATTTCTGGACAATATGGGCTTCAGCTTAGACAGTCGCCTCAGCTGGAAAAAGCAGGATTTAACAATCATATTTACATGATTGTTGAGTTTCAGAGAAGGGTCAAGTATCACTCCTAGATTAGTGACTTTGTTTCACTAACGGTGACAGAACGGATAGGTCGATGCAGTGGTTGGTGATTGTGTCATTGGGAGGAAACAGCATAACTTCAGATTTCTTCTCGTTTAAACTCAAGAAATTTAAAGCCATCCAATCTCTGATGTCAGCCAGGCAGTCCAGTAACGGTTGAATACAGCGAGTACCGTTGAGTCTGAGGGGGAAGTAGATTTGGCAGTCGTCGGCGTAGAACTGAAAAGGTATGTTATGTTTCCTGAAAATAGCACCTAGTGGCAGCAGGTATAAAGAAAATAAAAGAGGACCAAGGATGGACCCTTGCAGTACCCCCCATTTAAGCGCTGCCGAGGCTGAACTAAAATCTTTGATGGAGACACAAAAGGACCTGTCAGCGAGGTAAGATCTAAACCATTCGAGGGCTGACCCAGTGATGCCCACCCACTGCTCTAACCTCGCAATGAGGATCTCGTGGTCGATTGTATCAAAGGCAGATGTGAGGTCCAGTAAGAGAAGGAGCACAGAATCACCAGCGTCTGTGAATAGGAGAATGTCGTTAAAAACCTTGAGTAGAGCAGTTTCAGTGCTGTGGAGAGGTTTAAAGCCAGACTGGAATAGCTCTAAGATGGCATTATCCTCTAGAAAGCATTTCAGCTGGGACTCCACTATTTTTTCCAGCAGTTTAGCGACAAATGGGAGTCTGGAGACAGGCCGGAAGTTGGACATGACTGAGGGGTCAAGACTAGGTTTTTTCAGGAGAGGTTGGACAGCAGCATGTTTAAAAGTTGTTGGCACCACACCTGAGGATAAACTGCTGTTCACAATGCCAAGAACAGGAGGGCCCAGAACAGGAAGAAGCTCCTTGAGGAGTCGAGGGGGGACAACGTCAAAAGGGGAGCCAGATGGGCAAAGTGCTCACTGAGCTCAGAAGAAATAAAAGTGATTGCCTAAAATATTCAGTTATTAAATGTGTTCAGATTTCAGTTCTGTAAATATTTTGAGATGATTGAGTCCAGATGTGAAACATAAAAATGTAAATTAAACGTTTTCTTCTGAAGTTAGTCATTTGTGAACATAATCGGTTATGTTTTACTTATGTTCTTATTTTGACAAGTTTTGCTGTCATCAGTAAATGACATGAGAAATTAGACAGACATGTTCGGTTCTTTGCATCATGACAAGAAATATTGTCAAGAAGTTTTTGAATAAGAATTCAGATCATTTGATAGACGAATCAATGCATGCAGATGTTGAAACGAGTACAAATATCAAGTCAAGGTTCTTTATCGTCATCCTCATCACATGTGGCCCATGTGATGGAACAGTACACAGGGTCCCAGTTACATCCAACAAAAGTATAAAGTGATGGACTTCTGGTCCTTGGCCTCATGAACTCTTTAAATTATAATTGAATTTGATTTACAGTGACAGAGAGAAGACCAGAAACCAGACTTCAGGCGTCAGTGAGTCCTGTCTCCAGTCCGGCTCATTTCAAGCCTGTGAACATGGACCAGAACCAGCAGCAGCCAGAAGCTGACACTCTGCTCCTCTCTTCAGGGTGCAGGGTCAAAGGTCAGTCCTTACCTTTGATGAAGGAGTTTCCTTTGACATCCTGAGACAGACGCAGCGTTGTCCTCTTGTGTTGTCCACTGGGAACCTGAAGACACCAGAACACATCGTGTATCACTGCATTAACGTTTGTTTACAGCAGGCGTCCACAAATGGCAGACCTGGGTCTGGATCCTACGGTGGCCCTAAGGTGTAAATGAACAACGTTTGAAAAAATGGAATTACATTAAGCCAAACAGGAAGTTTTTTTATTTTTTATTAACAGCATAAAACCGAACAACAGAACAATGTACAGTACACACAACAGAGATATGCATGTACTGTATATCTGTACATGTAGTCTTAAGCCCCCAGTATACTGCCGCATACGTACGCAGAGGTACGTGTGTACCCCCCAGGGCATGTCTGCGCAAAGCTCCAATTTTTACAACCACATACGTGTACTCGGTGTCGCACAATAAACTGCCCAGCGAGGGACTGTATTGTATGCGACACCAATGTATTAAATTCTCTTCTTCATCCCTGATCTGGCCTTTTCTTTTGTTTTTTTGCCAAGAGGCAGTGATCTCTTCCTCCTCCGTTGATGCCATGACTGAAATGGTGAGAAATGAAGGAATTTGTCACGAGCGAATTAAACTCAGGTCCAGCGTGGCTGCGGGAGGGTCTGGAGATTTCCTGGTGGGCTGGTCTGATGTGTGGACTGCAGAGCCAGCACTCCCTGGTTTTTTTTGTTTGTTTTTTTAGATCTTTTGATTAACAACATGTAAACACAGAACACCGCTGCGGCGGAGGCTGCCAGCGCTCGCTTTGTTCTTTTCTCCGCCCTGTCAATCAATCCAGTAGGCGTGTCAGCAAATGACCAATCGGCGACCTCAGTTTGTCCCGAAGGTAAACGCCCCTTGTCTGTGAAGCTGCTCTGCAGCTGCTCGGGGTGGACGCTGGAGTACGAAGACTGAACCCTCTGCGTACAGTACACGCATACGTACGCGTGAACGGACGTACGCGGCAGTGTACTGGAGGTTTTAAACATTATTGAGCATTGGATTATTGAACATGCATCAGGATATTTTAAACATCACCTTCTCAGAGTGGATCAACGCTGACAACCAGAACCAGCTGATCACATGCTCAAGAAGGACCATCAGCCTAACAAAGGATCATTAGCACCTGATGGCTGTTTACTGTTCACAGAGGGCTGAGTGATACTAGCAATCACAGCATTGTAAGAGGGGGACAGTTGAACCTGGAGGCTCCAGAGGACCTGACTGAACTTTTTTATATTTTTCTACATGGATTATATACTGTACATTGTTCTGTTGTTCTGTTTTATGCTGTTAATAAAGTTAAAAATAAAAAATAAACTTCCTGTTCGGATTAATGCGATTCCATTTTTTTCAAAGTTGTTCATTTAAATCTTTGCTCAAGACTCATCTGTATTCCTCTGCATTTCATCCACGCAGAGTCTGACAACAAGTTGAGCTGATTTTATTGTTGTGTTGTTTTTACTGTCAACTTATGTTTTTGAGTGGCACTAGATGCATTTTTATTCTTTTTAATTTTTAATCTGTCTTAACTGTAAAGCACTTTGGTCAGCTTTTGTTGTTTTTATGTGCTATAGAAATAAATTGACATTTACATTTACACCTTAGGGCCACCGTAGGATCCGGACCGAGTCATGGTTCTGTCTGGACTCGTGCCCAATCTAGTAAATTCAGGAAAAGATCATTTTCATGCAGCACTGTTTCAGAGATGGACAGTTGAGGAGCAGAGCTGCAGGAGGTGTTGTGGAGGTCCACTTCAGGTGTTCCATCATCACTCCATTAATGAGACCATCAGATCTTCAGGCTCCTGCTCGGTGCAGCGAGCTCTCACCGGAGCAGACAGAAGAGACGGCAGGTCGTGCTCCAAAAGAAGACAAGCTGATGTAAAGATGAACGGACAGAGAAGCTCATGCTCATTCTTCCAGCAGGAAGTTCACAACCTGTTTGCCTCAAACGCTCTGAAACGCTCCATGAATTAAAAGTTTCACAGTGAAGCCTCTCCACCTCTTCTGAGCAACGTGATGTGCTGAAGTCGAGCAGAGCAGTAACTGAAGTGCACCCCGTGTGACAGATCCACCCACATCACCAGCACGTGCACAGCCCAGCAGCTGCTGGACGTTCACTCAAGGTGTCGTGGACTTTGGAGCAACATCAAAACATTTAGTGACGGGCCGGTCCTGAGGAGTGACTCAAGCTGCTGACGAGACACTGATGGAAAACAAAAAGAGCAGATGTCCTCATGCTGCTCAATAATCCAGGTAAAAAATCTGAAAGAGTTCAATCTGGTCCTCTGGACATTCAAAAAACAAAACAATTAAAAAGTCTAAACGTTTCATCTTTCATCCGAAAGACACCGTCAGGCCAGGACTCTGAGGTCTACACTCATCTCCAGGCCAGCGGTCACTCTTTCAGGGATGAAGATGTTCACATCCTGGACAGAGAGGAACGATGGTTTGAGAGAGGAGTAAAGGAGGCCATCTTTGTGAAAAGAAACCGTCCATCATTAAACAGGGGTGGAGCCTCCAGGTTCAACTGTCCCCCTCTTACAATGCTGTGATTGCTAGTATCACTCAGCCCTCTGTGAACAGTAAACAGCCATCAGGTGCTAATGATCCATTGTTAGGCTGATGGTCCTTCTTGAGCATGTGATCAGCTGGTTCTGGTTGTCAGCAGCAAACTGGTTGATCCACTCTGAGAAGGTGCTATTTAAGAGACTGAGCTGAATACAGCTCCTCAGACTGAAGAAGTCCTCAGGATGAAAGATGAAACGTTTCTACATTTTGTTGTTTTGTTTTTTGAATGTCCAGAGGACCAGATTTAACTTTTTTAGAAAAAGGCGAGATGTGTGAAAAAATCTAATCCTGACGTCAGTTTCAACATGAAGCAGAAAATCTGAACTATTAGCAGAAGATGTGCTGCCACAGCTGGATGCAGCTGTTCAGAGTCAGGGATGAGTCTACAGATGCTACTGATGATGCTCAGCTTCCTCTGACTCCAACCAAGATTGAAATTACTGGCAGGATAATCCCACGACCTCTCATTAAAATAAAGAATAATCCAACGAGAAAAGATATTGTTAAAGTTCTGTTTTCACCAAAGTCCATGCTGAAATTAATCCAGGGAAAAATCCAGCAATGTTCAGTCAGGTCATCTGGACGGTGTCTTTTTTTTTTGCTTAGACGTTTTGTCCTTCATCCAAAGGACTTCTTAAGTCTGAGGAGCCACTAAAACAAACTGATTCCCACCAACAGCTCCGTCCATAGTGGGAAACTAAAAGCCAGTTGGCTGGTGGTAAGATGGCCTCCGGGGCCGCCCTCTCCCCCGTCGGTCGTGACCGAGTGGCTCAAAACACCAAAGCTCATGTTCACTGATTCACCGTCTGTTTTCAGGGTCATAGTAAAACTTTTCTGGTTTAGGTTTCTGAACCTTCAGCTCTTGGACGTCTTCACTTTAAGAGAAAAAGTCTCTGCACATTTAAGATGTCTTTTATTCTGAACTTTCAGTTTTAATCTGAAATAAAGACCCTGAATTTATTTGCCTGGGACTAATGTTAAATACGGTAAAGAGCTTGTTGTTTACTCTAAACAACAGTTTGTCAACAGTGAACATGTGACACGACCAGAAAAGACAAAAGTTGGACTTTTGTTCGGACCTTTACTGGGAGGACTTTCAGTAACTGGACCTCAGTGAGTTTTAATTGAATACTCGTGGATTAGAGGTTTGACGTTTGTGTTGTTGTTGTTGTTGTCACAAACAACAAACATCAAGAACTGATCCTCTGGTTCATGAGTCTGAGCTGAGAAGGGTCGCAGGTTCGGTTCTGATTACTAGAACCGCTGAGGTCAGAGTCAGCATCAGGTTGTTGAGCTGGCAGCTCTTTCTGGTTTAGAGACATTTTCCTGAGCAGGACAAGACAGACAGGGACAGACAGGACAGACAGGATGGACAGAGACAGACAGGACGGACAGAGATGGACAGAAACAGACAGGACGGACAGAGCCAGACAGGGACAGACAGAACAGACAGGGACAGACAGGACCGACAGGGACAGACAGGACGGACAGAGCCAGACAGGGACAGACAGGGACAGACAGGGACAGACAGGGACAGACAGGGACAGACAGGGACAGACGGAACAGACAGGGACGGACAGGGACGGACAGAAGTCCACAGTGTGTGTCTCACCTGTTCCAGCAGGTCGTAGATGTTCTCGTTGTAAATCTCACAGAACGAGACCCAAACAGAGAAACGGATGTTGGAGGAAACATCCAGACAGAAACTGTCGTCCTCAGGAGCACTGTCCACACTGTCCACACTGTCCACACTGCTGAGAGACGAGCCTGGACACAGACACACACACGTCAGCTCAGAGTTTTTCTACGCTCTCGTTGGTCGGATTAAACACTGACCTTCGAGGAAAGCAGACCTTCCAGCAGTCAGCGTCTTGTCGCTCTGCAGACAGGAAGCAGACACAGCTGTCAGTCAACACCTGGAACATCTGCTCAGACCAACCGTCTCCACCTCCTGAAGGTGTTGACAAGTCCAACCTGCAGGAACTCGTTATGGGAGCTGCCATCTTGTAGAGTCTGTGCTTTATCAATGTGGGGCATTAAGTCCCGCCCACTTAACTAGAAAAACACTGGAATGACCAGCCACAGTGAGATGAGAGCACTGAACTGAAGACCAGAACCAGAACCAGAGCCAGAACCAGGCGTTCGGCATCACTGGTGAGTCTAAAGTCATGCTGGTTCATGAATCTATCTTTAAGTTTGGTTTTTACACTTGGAACAAGTTCACATAATTAACAACCTGCTACTGGGAGAGGTTTAAACCTGGTACCAGGACTGTGGAGATGCAGGGACGGCTTCAGCTCCCAGGTCTTAATGCCTGTGGTCCTGATGAAGATGCACTTCCTGTGGGCGGGCCTCACCTCTTTGAGCAGCCTCAGCAGGTTCTTCTTGCTGCTGATCTCAGCCGCCTGCTGATCCAGGGTCAGTTTGCTAAAGTCCCTGCACCGCTGGGGCTTCAGATCAGCGAGGCCGTACAGACGGTCCTCGATGCTGTTAAAGATGACCGACAGAGACCTGGGCAGCAGCCCCGAGTCATGGTCCGGACCTGACAGACAGACGGACACCGTCAGTCAGATAGAAAGACTGTCAGACAGACAGGCAGGCAGGCTATGGTTCTGACCCAGGAAGGTGAAGGTTTTCCCAGCGTTGGTGACCCCATAGGTGAACACCAGAGAGTTTCCTCCCTGCAGAACGTCTCGGACCAAACCCCGAACAGAACCCTGGAACACCTTCCTCTGACTGGCCTCCGGGCCGAACACCTGAACATCAACAACATGAAGAACAGCGGGACAGGACAGCTAGGTTCACATGGACGGTAATGTCACAGGTACCTGAGTGAAGGAGAACCTCTGCACTGTTTGTGGGAGGGGCTTCTCTCCCTGCCGGCTTGACTGACAGCTGCTGGAAGGTCTGAGGACCACGGAGTCGTGGCCTTCGATGGACACACAGTCCTGCAGAGGAAAACACAGCTGCTGGGTTGAGTTGGACAGAGGAAAGGAGAGGACACAGTGAGTGCTGGACAGCAGAGAGACAGTTTGTCTCCCACAGAGAAGAAAAGAACCAACAAGTGCAAACACACAAGTCAGGACCAGAAAATATGATTTTATAACTTCAAGACTTTTAAAAATATTCAGTTTTTATATTTTAACAGCAAAGACCCAAAATCTTGTCCCTGTGATGGACTGAGACCGGTCCAGGTGTCCCTGTGATGGACTGAGAC